CATTCTTCGGGAAGCCTTCAAGTGAGAGGAGACAAGCCTGGGGAGTGCTAGAGGAGGCACGCGAGGGGGTCAAGCCTTAAATCGATGCTTTTAGAATATTTTTTTCAGATTTCGAAGGTAAATTGCAAGGTTTTCATGACAAGGGTAGTTACAGGTATTCAATGGCTTTCATGTTTACATTTGGGTATTCAACCGTAGGAATTACCAGTATCTAATTTCTCACTGCTGGGTCATTCATCAAAATCACGAGAATAAAGCAAATGAACACTAACTTAAGAAGCTTTGATTGTTAAACAAATTCTCCTTGTCATTACCAGAGGGAATTGTATAGAGATAGGTATTGTGAAAATGCATACTGTTAGTGTAAAGGATCAAATTTCTCATGGCATTAATAACAAATTGGAAAGCAAAGCTTCCTTGCCACGATCTTCAGTGAGTGACCTGTTTCAAGTTTTGTTTTTGATGTTTCTGATTTGTTTCAAATTTTCCTGTTTTCATCTCTTTCTGTCTAGGGATAGCTGTTTTACCTAACAACTATATTGCTTCTATTCTCACCATGAAAAGACTCGGAAAAAAGCCACATTTAAGTAACCACAAATTGAGCAAAAATTGGGTAAGAAACATAACATTAACTCTTTCACTCACAAGATCTTATTAGTAAATTCTCCATACTGTCTATTATATAATTCTTATGATATAGGTTCAGAGAATTTGTTATTGGATCAACTAACTTTGTTTTCATCACTTGTCTGCTTGACATGGTAACAATATTGTGTGGAGAAATTCTGTTTTGGTCACTTATGTGAGTTAAAGTCCCTATGACACTCTATTATTTTACATCAAAATATAATGACTCTAACACATGTTTTCGCAACATTTGTGGTATTTTGCCCTTTTCTTAATTTTTTACCAAGCCCAATAATCTGCAGTTAAAATGTCTGGCCAAGCAAAGAGGGACTGGGCACTTTGATGACACAGTAGGAATCTTGTGGAGAAAGATATTCTTCAACGAGTCAGGAGTATTAAAAAAACCACAAACTACACATCAAAATGGCATTTTTTGGCTAAAAAGATCGTAAATAGTAGCTTCCGCACTCACTTTGCTTCTTTGATAAACTTTGTGTTACTATCGTTGTGCCAACAGGTTCTAGTACTCTTTAACGCGGCCAAAGAGATACAGGGAGCCTAAGTTCGAAACAATTTCAGACTTTTATTGCCTCGTAAAATAACAGACGCATTAGAATCACTCACAAATCTTACCAGACACCCTCTGCATACTTCTATTTTTATAATTTAATGCTAAAAAAATAGGTGTCATAGGGACTTTAAATGTTAACACTGACTTGTATGCTTTCAGATGAAAAACAAACAAACAAATGCTAGTAAGAATGCTTATGTTTTATTGCTCTTGTTTTACAAGTTACTGGCTAGTATTCAAACTATTTCCATGGCTGGCCTGGACATATGAAGTGACAGAAGCCTCTAAACAAGTAACATTATCTACACAACATTCCCTCGATCAACATCAGGCACACAGCCAAACATAAACCTTAATAGAAGCCATTTTGATTAAGGTACACAAAATTGGTACTAAAGTGTACCACAAACAATGTTTTTGGTTAAATGTGAATCAGCCTCCACTTAGTTCTTTCCTAGATCTTATTTGGTAATGATTACAATTATATACATGCATAACCCAATGCTGAAGAGTAAGTTCTAGAAACCGTGCATGTGTATCTGGTCTGGTTTAGCTAGCTTAAGCTGTTTCAGAAAATCACTGATATTCTGACGGTGGTCACCTTGTAGCTGTATCACCTCACCATATTCTGGGTTTTCAACAACTGTTCCATTGCAGTTGAATTCCTGCAAAGGGGAAAAACACAAAAAATTTTGATCACATGTTGTCATAAGGGTAGAACACCTATCTTCTGCAAAATCTCTGTTCACTTTATTCAGAATATGGCAGTTTCAGAACATGCTAACGAAACAGGACACATTCCTGTTTGGGACCAAGTGACAGGTTTATTGATCATGACCCACACTGGTTCACACATAGGGTTAAAGAAGCCATCCACAAAAAATCTTCATTCTATGTGTAATACCATCAATAGAGACAACAGAATTGAAATTCTTGAAGCATGGATGACTACCATCAAAAAGCATGACTGGCGATCTGTATTAGGGAACAGTATCTTATATTCAAATTAATAATCATCGAACTACACCAATGACAGTGCACCATAACCCACCAATAACACCAAACCAAAGTGCTATAAGAAGCGACACATATTAACTTTCTGCCTTATTCCCTAACGAAAGCTAGCAGCATAGAAGTTGAAACATCACAATGAATATGATTGATTAGCAAGTCTCTTGCATCACGAGACAAACAATTGAACTTTAATTTATCTATAATTCAACACTTTCTATAAATAACAACTTCCAAAATAATACTTCAGCAATAAACTTCACTTTCTATCTGTCTACCTGCATAATAACCCACGTGGGTTCCTGGGAGACTCAAAGGTTGTAATTCACCTCCAAGACACCAGTGACTTGTTAACTTATCTCAACATCTTCCAACATCCCAAGTGGGTTATTTCATGTATGCCGGTAAACTGAGAGAATTAAAGTATGCTTTCTTGCTTTTACAAAATTAACTTACACAAAACACAGTATGTTTCAATTTTCTATGGGTTTACCAGAGCAGTAAAGCTGGGTTTTCAACCAATCAGGGAGCTCCCAGAATCTCATGTATTTCATATATTTATGATCCCAAGCTACTCTCAAATAAATTACTTCAAATACAATGTTGGTATTTGAAAAGTTTACCTTTAATTCATTGCTGCACTAGAAAAACAAACTAACAAAATACCAGACAGTTTGGAACATATAGCCAAATCAAGGAAGAACTTATGTAGTACAACCAGACTTAATGCCTATGACAAACTTCTGGTAAACACTTGATTGCATCATTCACTACTGTATCTAATTTGAATTGTTACATGAAGATTTTGGCAGTATTGCCCTAAGCACAAATAATTTTCACCAAAAAAATTCGCATGAAGTTTCGAACTAATTCTTTTTCGACAATGAGCGTAGTTTACCAAGAAAGACTTTGAGGGAAAAAGTATTTTCTAACAAAAGTCAATCGTACATGCATCAAAGATTTTAACTGAGCAGATACAATTCGCAAAAATCAAGCAATAAGTTTTCGCGAGATCGAATCGTATCTTGTTTGTAACACTCCATAGCGATCGAAGTAGGACTACGTAATAAATAAAAAATATAAATTTGCATGCTTCAACTTGCAGCTAAGACTTAATTTGGGTCCATCGGGCTCAATTTTAATTGAAACTTGACAGTTTTATTCCAACAAGTCACACAACTATTTCCTGTCGATTTCTTGTGGTAGAAAGTAAAAGTATTCTGATGAAAGTTTGATCAGATTGCCAGTGTAGGGAATCAATTAGCAGTACGCCAATTTCTCAAAGAAATCAGGGGTTGAAATGCTTTACATCTGACCTGATCTTAAGTGTTTCAACGAACCTTTTTGAAAGCTTTCACAAGTTTCTTCTTGTCATAGCATTCTTCGATTCCTTGTACCGTGGTCAAAGTTTTACGACCATTTCTCTGTTGTATGCGGATGTGAATTGGTTGTGTCTGAGCTGATATTTCATCAGTACCCTTAGAAGCATCCGAGAAGGGATCTGGAGAAGGAGAGCAAAGTGCAACTGTTATCGGTTAAACAGTGGTTGAAGCTTGAAAATAATAAGGCTAAAAAATGCTGAAGAAAGAGAAATTACCGTAAGTTTGTAGGTTCTGGATTGACATGCGAATTTCTTGAAGCCAACTGGCTGAAAATAGCGTTGAAATAAAGGCAGATGACTACGATTCACGAAGATGATCACGACAATATCCTTCACAGTTAACTGTGGCAGAAAATCAGAAGGGTGGAAGGAGATCTAGCACCATAAACGGAAATGATGTCATCCAACGTCATCAGTCATGTGACTTTCAGACAAATTATAGCTCTTTTGCCCAGTCAATGCGGGAAAAACCGTAGAATCACTGCTAGTTATCAAGGATATATCTGTACTTGAGAATTGTTAAGTGGTTTCAGCGATTTTAGTACTTTTGATTTCGCTTCCCATTGTTTTTATTGAAAATTGACGATTGCACAAGGAGATGAAACTGTAATGTTGTGAATGACCGCAGGCTCAGAATAATGGTTTTGTTCTGAGAAAACACAGCGAAACCTCGCGGAAACTCATACAGCAAGCGATATGTAATTATGAACAATGCTGGTCTAATAGCTCCTGAAATCAGAGTGGTATGCAAACATGCACGATGCATTTGAACATGCAGTTATCTTGGAGAAGCTGCCATTGCAAATAGAATGCATAGCTACCTTTGGTAAGATGGCAAATTTATGGAATATTGTAACTAAATAAATATTTCTCATGAAACGACAAGTAATCTTAATTGTTACAGCTTGTTGCCATAAGCTGTGAGTAAAAGTTTTATGTGTAATGTTTTGATAAGCAGGCTTATAAAATCTGTAATTCATAATTTTATTATTTATGACTAAACTAACATTAGCTCAAAGCACTTATCATAATCTAGAAATAAAATCACTCACTCTTAATTTGATAAGGTAAAGTCTGTTTATGAGTTAAGTGGTCCATCAGGCCAGCACTTAACTCTGGTTTTGATAGCACAAAGGGAGTAGGAGTACTTCTATCCCCCCCCCCCCTTCCCTGGATGAATGGGATGCCAGTCCATTGCAGCATTATCCCCCATCATTAAATTCAACGATACCCATTTAAACACCGAGGTGAAGAGAGGCTCTGTGAGAGTAAAGAATCTTGCCTAAGAACACTTGGCTGTGTCTCATGTGCTACTTTTTTGTTCTTACCTCGTTTGGGCATCATCTGTGATCTGTTGATGAAAAGACGCATGTCAACATGTCAGTTGACCTATTTGATAAATGGGTCAACCGGGATGGTGACAATTGACAACTGGGAAAAATTTGTTTTACAAACCATCACAAATTGTCATTCTCAAGAAATGTTATTAATATCTTTTCAGGTGACAATCTTCTTGTTGGAACAAGACAGGGGCATTTGCTTTTGTATGGTGTTTTAGATGGGACAGGTAACACAATTGTGCTATACACTGTATCGGCAAAAAGCTTTAAAGCCTTCATTTTAGTGTTCCTTCTGAAGCACCTCCCACCAGTGTTTTCACTGACTTGTTTCCAAAGGGCTAGTTACTTTTATAAGACAAAATTGCCAAAGATTTGTCTTATTCTGAAATAGTTTATAACCCTTGCCTTGTTTTCATATTTATCTCAAAGTAAGGCTGTGCCCAAAGGAAAATTGAATGGAGCCCAGTGCTTTGAAACTGTGAAATCCAGGGTGCCCAGTATATGCTTTGTTTGAAAAACTAAAATTCCTGAGTCACCCAAGAGCAAAAGTAAGGCACCAAAGGCCACCAGGCACTGCTAGATCACATCCTTTTAAAGTATTCAATAAAACTTGAAAGAAAATAATAAGAACATGTAAAAGCAAGAGGAAAAGGTGTTAGCGGAATTGATGCTGGACACTCGCTTGTTTATATGATGTTTATTCAAACCTTTTGCAGAGAACTGAAGTACAGGTTTGTTACAATGAGATGTTGTTAAGGTTGAGAACAGATGTCGGCATTTTCTCAGGCGCCTCTGGCAGCTGCTTCAGTCCATATCGATCTCACCTTCCCACCCATCACACCCCAGGGGAGGACATCCATCACACAGTAATCTCATGTGTGGGAAATTAAGGTCTCCTACCCCAACCCTGCAGGAGACGGGACCTCCATTTATTCGTCCCTATCGGAGAAGACTAGAATATCTAACCATTATCACCAACTATTGGTTTTTTATGGCTGGCTTCTTAACTCTTCACACCCCAATATCAATGGCCATATTCCCTTTACTCCTGTCTTTACATTTCCTTTGGTATGACAAGGAGAATTCATTTAACAGTCAAAGCTTCTTAGAATGTTGATCATTTCCTTTATTCTCAAGATCTTAATGAATGATTCAGCAGTATTATTGTATTATTGTAAGGAGAAATTAGATGCTGGTCACTAGGGTTTAAAGAGCTTGAAAATCTCTGGAGGACACTGGCCTTTTGCACTGATAAGAAAGACTGAATGTCTTTCTCCTTGTCATTTCCTAAACTGGTGGACTCTTGTCCTTCCTGAAAGAAAGCTTATGGCAGTTTTTTTATCATGGGGTGTGATTCTGAAAGGTAGTTTTGAATCAGTTGAATTGGTGGAATCCTGTGGAAGCCCTGTGCAGTAATAGAGTCTTATTGAACAGATGGTAATGCATTTCTTCTTATCTTCAATGTATTTGTGTCTGTTGAAAATAGGTGACAGCAGGTTTGAAGTGGAGCTACGAAGCTCTAACAAATTGTTCTCAAAGAAGCCCATTTCACAGGTAAATTATAAAATAATATTAGTAACAACACTCTGTGATGCTGTTATGGCTGATTGTTCTAGGGAACTTATTGAAATAAATATCCACTTATTTGTTGAATTGTTTTTTGAACTTGATCCCTTATCATTTTAACTGAACTTATTGCAGTAGCTGTACGGTTTAATCGTCACATGGCTAGCTTAGGTTTTTAGAGTGGTGGTCTACCATGTGGGAGGTTGATGGTTCAAGCTTCAGACCAGACCAACACTCAGGGTCCTAAGTTAAACATAACTGAGGACAATGTGCTGATTTTGCCCTGACATCTGCAAAATAATGGTTAGACATTCTAGTCTTCTCAGAATATGACAATGTTAAACCGTAGGCTCTGTCTTCTGCTTCCTCTTTGTTCTGGTTGGCAGGGGACATTTAAGAATCCACGCAGTTCTCACAAAGAGTAGGGAACATAGCTCCTGGCATTGTTATCTAGTCTTGTTTCCTAAATTCCAAAATTGGGGGCATCTGAAAAATTTCCTCTCCAAATTGTAAATTGCTCAATGCAGTGTGGCAAAAGTCCCCTTGAAAAGTGTTGTAAAGCACATCAGAGCAGAGCAGCATGGACAATGTGCTACATAGGCCATTACAGAAACATGAGAGGACTGGGAAAGGGTGTGGTTGTTTTCCGGTTGTTTGAAAAACTAAGATATTCAAATGAAAGATCAACTAAATTTGAGAGTCTTGAGCAAGAATAGAGGTAGTTAAAGGAGGAAAATGGCAAAATGACAGCTTTTCAAATATCACCTAAAATAGAGAGTTTGTAACTATGGATTGGGTAGACAGGGCAAAAAATTTTAAGGGTTTGTATGGAATTTTTGCAACTTTTGTAAGGCTCCAATTTGGACACTTTTCCGCTGAAAACTCTCAAACTTGGCTGGGTAGCTTTTCATTCAGTAACATTTCAGTTGAAATGTTTAGATTTTCAATGTAATCAATATAAGAAACTCGTCCCAGTCCTCTCACGTTTCTGCAATGGGCTATGG